GGTATCAATTTGCCGTACCCGGAGAGTAGAAGGCTTGGCTGATCTCTGTGGGAGCCGATCCGGGCTACCCTCGGACCGCTTGCACGCTTGCCGTTGCACCACCTCTGCCTTCTTTGCAGCTACAGTCATGAGACGTACCGATATTCCAAGGGCTATCGAAAGACTACAAAGAGAGTGCAAGTGGATTACCAGCGCAACTCGAGTTCCAAGAGTGAATGTGCTGGGTCCGAGTGCATCACCCTGAACTGAGCCCTCTTCTACCCTAATTTAATAAAAATTTTCTGATTCTGCCAACTCTGCCCGATCTCCCATTCCCGGGCCAGAATTCGTTGTCAATCCATCTATCGATTCGTGCTGTATCGAATTGTCGTTGATTTGTCATCGTATGTTCTTGACGTGGCGAAATGTCTCGGCTGATTCACTCAGATAACTGCGCCGTGAGTGTGTTTTGATGCTTCTGAACTGATACGGGTGCTATCAGTGTCGATCTGACACCAATCAATATTTGTGCTTATTGATTGATTAGGAGACAAGACGGGTGTGTTTGCATGTGAGTGTGTGTGTTTTCTTATGTCAGTTGCCACGACGTTCACAGAGAGAGGCTGAAGATTTGCGAGAGCGCAGAGTAACTCTATTGGTTTAACCTAGCCGTTGTCGAATTCGATGCGTCACCTGTACTGTGAGGGGGTAATTTCTACAATTCCTGAACCTGGACTACTGTATGACATCGTAATGTTGAACAGTACTTTCATATCCTGCAAAACATTGTCTGTGTTTTGAATTCCATGAGGGATTATAAGAGCCAATTTCTGTGATTCTAGTAACGGTTTGAAGATCAGTGCCAAATCAGAGCTTTTGGAGTGCGCCGTACATTCGACATTTGCACGAAACTGTTTTGTGTGATTGCATGCTCGGGGCTCTTTACATGAAAGCACAGGATATTTCGTGGTTTGAGAGGTGCTGTGGTTAGAACTTGCCAACAACTTGGGCCTTGCCGGATCTTCCTTACCTTGTTCATGGGTTTCGAAGAGTACAGAGAAAGGCAAAAGTTCTAGTGGAAGGCTCCGTTCGCAGCTCTAACCCTAGCAAAATTTGAAACCTCTTGATACTCTGAAATTTCAGACCGAATTAGAAAAAAAAACGAATGCGGAAGAAGGAGAGATTTTGAAAAATTAATTGTTTTCAAACCATGAGCTCACAAAGGAAGAGATGGTGTCACAACAATGCCTACAGTGTAGGGGATCTATGATCGGCTCCCGCCTGGAACAATCAAACCCCCACCCCTTCTGGACTGGCTAGCTTGTGCCGACTTGCCTGGCCACCGCAACTCATTGTAAGGGTCGAACGGCATCCAAAATGCTGCTGCGGGTTTTGAATGGAAGGAGAGCGCGTGGCACATCTTAGAAAGCATTTGATCAGCTCCGAGAGCTTCATTCACTCGCTCTCCCCCCTTTTAACCTGACAGCAGTAAATGGTCCAGAAAATGGTGGAACGTCAAATGGTCCAGAAGAGAGGGTCCAGAAAGATTTGGTCATAAATCAGGAAAATAAAGAAATATCTTGGAGTAGTTCGGGGAGGTCGATTACCCTTGTTGGTCGTCGAAACGGTCACCTCCCACGTGGGCAAAGGAAAGGTCTGCTTTCGTGTCCCCTAGGCTTATGTCTACTGGAAAAGAGGTTTCTGAACGAGAGCTGAACAAGCGTTTTTTTTACTCGATGTCTTCCATTTTTTGGAGTATTCTTTTCACCATTTTTTTTCTTCATTATATGTGCTCACGCGAGATAATTCTCAGCACTTTTTTTAACTTTTACTTATCAGTTATCCATTTCTGGTGTTGATTCTTAGTGATAAATGCCTTGACTCATCTCTACCGTAATCCCATCACCCATAAGCATTTGCCGTTTTTCTTATGAAGACATTTAACTCACATACCTCCGGAAATAAGTGTGTAGTCACCTAAAAACTGCTTCAGAAGAAAAAAGGTGGTGAAACATGCTAAATAGATTAAATAAACAAATAAATAAACTACATAAACAAATAAATAAACGGTAAAAAACTAAACAACCTGATTTTCTAGTAAATAAGATGATATTTTGTGCCCTGTGGTTTTACTCTTAGACTGTTCTCTCTCCAAGTAGATTTTCTTTTTCCAGCGTCTGTCTCCTACCAGTTCACCAGTACCTCGTTTATTCTGTAATAATTATTTTGAATTTTTTCTAGTTGCCTTTTTTCAGAGTTAATTTCCTTCATTTGTCTTTGTGCTTAATCCGATAAACCTAATGACCTTTGCCGTCGAGAAACCAGCTCAGTTCTTTCTATCTCGTGAAATCGTTTCCACAATCATTCTGCACTCTTGAAATGTGTCCTTCGCGACGAACGAGAACGCCATCGCACCATGCGACAATCTCGACGTCGCGCGCGACGCCGTTGCGAACACGTCAAGGCCTTATCAGGTCGCAATCTGATAACAGCCCTGCGTCTCTTGAATTCGTCATGCTCTCTGATTTGTTGTCTGTCACTCTACGTCTTCGTCATTTCTTTTCTCTCCACAGAGAGCGATGTTTTGCAACGATGGCGCTGAATCGGACAACGGACGGCAACCGTTCTGATTGCAATTTTAGATATCCGTTAGTCGTTTCGCTCTCCATTCCGCGAAGATCTCTTGAGTTTCCGCAGACGGGCCCACTGGGACAGCCGGACGAAACGCACACACCCGCTCAAAAAGGTTCTTGACGCGAAAAGACGCATACGTATGGGGGGGGGAATGTGGTCACAGCTGCTCAAACACAAGCAATCAACCAGGCGCGAACTAAAGCTGTAGTAGTGGCAGGTGCAGAGGTCGAAGAGCAGAAATATAGCGAAGCTTGATGAAAATGAAGCTGAATATCGTTTTGTTTCAGATGAACGAAACGGCCGACATCGTCAAACAGACGACGCCGACGACCACGAAAATTGAGCCCAACGATCGGTATGGTATTCGATTATTAATTGCTTACCGTGGGGTCAAATATGGCAACACCGTCGGGCCATCATGCTCCAACAACTAATCTATATCTGTTATTATGATAGATATTTTTAGGATTTTGAGAAACGACGATTTTTAAGAAATGACGAAATTTTTGAATATTTTTAACGGCCCCTAGGATAAGCGTCGTTAAGCTTCTTGAGCCTTATTTGTAAAATCCTGTGAGGTATGGGGGTTGAGCTGAACAGCCGTATTATGAGTGAACACAATCAACATCAAAGTGTACAAGATAGCCTGCAATGGCCGTAAAGTGCGCCCTTGCTCGGTAAATACTAAAAAGTAGGAGAATTAAAGTCTTCTGCCGCTGATCGTCGCGTTTTTGGGGTGCGTCACGCCAATTCTACTTCTAGTCAAAAATCGTAAAGTGGCTTATTGAACTGGCAATGTGGCCTGTGCAATGGCTTGCAGGGCCGGCCAATGTACAAGTAAGTGTTCTTATCTCCCAGATCAATCTGCTAAAAATTTGCTTTCCGCGGAATGTAGAAAGGCTTCGTTGGTATGGGGGGGGGGGTGGGGGTAAGAAACCAATTCGGGATATGGACGCTCCGCATCGGCACTGGTTGTAAGCACCTCCCCTCTCTCTCCACTCCCCCTGCCACACCACCTTTGCCGCATTGAAAACTGTATCTAGTAACACAGTAGTATAGGTGGGACAGAATCAAAACGGGAACGGTGTCGCTAGTGAGCTGGTTAGAGGGAGCACAGTCGTGGTGGTATATCCCGGACCCACTCCCGCTTGAGTTAATGGAGCCCTCCATCCCCTAGGGTTCATATGGTGGGCACCAGATTTGTCTGGGAGGGCAAAATACACTGGACCGGGACTTAGCTCTCAGCTTACTCTCGCAAATCACTAATGTAAGATAACAGAAGGACAGAAGTTTCACCGCTGATCAAACTCTTTTCGGAGTGCGCCTAAAATCCGACTTTCACTGAGAATCACGACGGCTTACTAGGTGCTCTATGGCTATTCAATGACTTGTGGGGCCAGGCAATGGAGACAGTATTTTTCATCCTCCCAGACAAGCCTGCTGCCAATGAACGGACTCGGTGTTGTTTGGTCTGCACAGAAGCCAAACTCTAATTCGAACTGCCCTCCCTTGAACGTCCAAAATCCAAGATCGCTTCCTGAGGCTCGTAAAAAGGGTCCAAATCGCTGCATTACCGCGAACCAAATTGTTTGTATCGATTTCGCGATAATGCATGCGTCTATATAATGTGGAGCTGGAGGGTAAGGTAATATGTCTTGGTTGCGCCCCCGAGTGGTGGAGCATGTCAGGAGAACTGAGTTTGGCGCAGCGCCGGTCCGTTCTTCCCCACTGATAAAGAGGGTAAAGCGACAACAACCGGTGGAAGGCTGCCGCCTCGCCAAACTCAGCTCCTTCCTCGCTGATGCGTCCCTGCATCTGCAGCGATCAAGGATGTAAAATATATCACAATATCTTATATGGACATAGAGATCCAGGCATCGACTAGAGTTGGAGCCACCCGCTTCGCATACAACCCTCCAGGGGTAAGCAAAACTTGGTGAAGAACTTTGTTTGACGTAGGATTACATATCCAAAAACATGAAAACACTTTTGTATGGCTAAATACCTTTAGTGGGTCCCACCAGGGAGCTGCTCTCTGGAAAAATTCTTCGTCCGCCAACTGTCAGTTGGTAGCTTCCTCGTGTTGTAAATCAAGTTTTTGAGAGCTTCTGGGCCTGACTACATTCTCACTAAATCGACAATCCGAAAATCATCTGATTTAATCCGGCTTGAGAATCTGAACAGCTGTTCTAAATGGGTTGCGCTTTGCTTCAGATTGTCGGGCAATTAGACTTTGTCAGAAAAATGTAAAATTGTCTTTCTTTTTTCGAAAAATGGAAACCGGTGCAATAGAACGGAATACAGTTCCAGTGTTGATATTTTTCTTGTTGAATTAGAAGTCTTAACTTTGTTAAAATTGAAAAATGTTTTTTTCCAGGCTCACACCTATGACACCTAGGCTCACACCCACCTATGACACCTTCAAGAAGGAACCTTGGCAAGGTGCCACGCAACTGAACGGTGGCCAAATGATTACGGTAATTTTCGAAGTACCATTCCAAGAGTAGGTTGTAGGGCGAGGAAGAGCGCGAGCTTTACCACTTGTCCGTTTCATACTGTCTTGGCATGCATGTTTGAGCGCGTCACTTAGTTACTCGGCGAGAGGGCGCAGACAAGCAGACATGTCGTGGCCTCCCTCAGCTATCTTTGCCATCTTTGTCTTGTCTTCAAACGTTCTGTCACTAGTTTAGTGGATGGTTATGTTTTTCTGCCTCACTAAAAGCCCTGCTTCTGTTCACTTTTTCTAAAAATAATGTAATACAAGTGTTGTATTTTATCCTGATATTCCAAATTTCAGTTATCCCCACCGGCTGGCGATCCTGCTGGCACCCAACCCGAACCGACACAATCATCGTCGAGCGCTGGCTCCGATTTGACCGCCGGTGATGCCGAAGGCGTTTGGAGCGTCGATATCGATCAGGTACGGTAGCCAGTTGTCCACTGATTACTGTATATGGGTCATTTTGTAATTTTAGGCCTTCCAAGAAGCTCTAGCCATTTATCCGCCATGTGGACGACGGAAAATCATTATCAGCGATGAAGGAAAGATGTATGGTGAGTAACAATGGAACTTTGCCCGATAATTTATGTTTACTCTGTATTGTTTTTTTCTTGTTTTTTTATTTGTCGCGCTGTTTCGTTCGCCCAACTGTGACCTCATTTGCTAAGTGAATGGCGTTCTACGGCGCTTTTAAATGCTCAAGGAACTGTGCTGTTAGAGTTTGAAAACGTGCGAAATACCTTCTTACAATCAAGACGTTCCGGACCGCGTGACACACATGGTGTGTCACATATTTTGCTCTTTGCGCTGTTTCATACGGTCTATTTGACATCCACTTCATGTTCTTGAGTTAGTAGAACAGGTTTCTGGCTACGAAATAACGTATCTCATGAAAAAGTGAAAAAACTGATGAAATTGATGATAATCTATGAAAAAAGACGTAATAATGCGGATGTGCTCGCAGACCGGCGGTCGTCAAAGTGTTGAGGAACTTTTGCCAACCTACTGTAATCCTGGAAAGCTCAACTTGTGAACACAGTTGGATAAGATTGTCATCTGTGAGAAGTGGGGCCTATTACAGTCAGGGTACAGCATCGTGATTCGTGAAATTGTGGTGTCAGTACGACCCCCCCCCTTTTCCTCAACAACTAACTACCACTTTCCTACAAGTTCCCAGCTTCCTACCAGTTTTTCACCCAGAAATATTCCGTCGGGTATTTAGCCAGTGTGAACGGGAAAAACCGCGAAAAGTCAACAACCGGGGAAAATTTCTTCCCAACGCGGCGAATTTCTCTCAAAGGCACATATGACCCCCCCCCCCCAGCGGGAAAGTACGACTCTCCATGTACTTCACATCGATGCAACCCTGATTAGTCCACTACTACCGTAACCATGAGAAGCGCGCAGTAATCTTCAACGGTGCTATTTCTGACTGCTTTCTTTTAACGTCCTTCCTTGTGGTAATTGTCGAGGCTCGTTTTGTGGCTTGCGTTTGCCTGCGCCTCTCAGCATGCATCGGCCCTTCATCGGCGTGCACGTAGGTCGTGTCGTCGGCCAGCAGCTGCTCTTTCCATCTGTCCCTTCGCGGTTAATTCGCATGCCGTCGCGCGGCACACGTTCACCAGCCACTGTACCGTGATGAATTGTCGCCGCCGCCATCGCACCACAATAGACCAAAATCGACATCGGACGATGAACAACCGCTGTAAACCAACGCAATGAAAAACGACAGGATAGGGATGCAATGGGGGATGGAATGAAGCCTGCTGTGGTCAACCAAATCGGCTTAGGGCCAGAGGACGTTGAAAGGGCTTCCTGTGCCAAACGGTGTGTGTACGGATGAGAATTTTTGCCCGAGAGGGGATGGAAGAAAGTTTGTGCAAAGGGGATGGTTCCGCTTCATTATAATGGCGTTGCGGCTGGAGTTCTCTTGATGACCCCCCTACTTACCCAACCTTCAAATGCTAGGTCAAAAATTGTGTTGAATTTGGTGGAGATGTAATAGCAGGTCGGAAGGAGGAACTCAGAATTTAAGCTGACTGAGGGCTGCTCAAAATTCAAGCTGACTGAGGGCTGCAAAGATTTGGCTGTGGAATACCTAGAAGGTTCTTCTTATTCAGTAGAATAAATTTATTTATTTATTTATTTATTTATTTATTCAATGCACGCAAAAGTGCGCCTTACATCACTTAAGTTGTAACAAATCAAAGCGAGCCACAATCTTACCTAGCACAAACTTTGGTAAAATACAATAACTAAATAGGGATCGAGTCCCACCCAGACTTGGCTTAGAAGAAAGAAGAGGTTTGTAGGCGAGTCATCTTCAACACTTATAGGGATAATGAGCGGACGCGCTACTCCCTCACTTGACTCGCAATCGTTAATTCAGCTTAAACTTCAAACATTGCAATGGAATTGTTTTTATTTCCCTTTTTCTCTTAGTTCAAAAAGTTCTAGTCAGCTTTTCTCTCAACGATATACTGTGTAGTGAAAGCAGTAGACAAGCGCAACTTGTAGCTGACATTTCTTTCAAACAGTCCCAAACGGGGAACTCTCTGCGACTTACATTTGCATGACCAATGAGGCCGTCAGTCAGCATTCCCTTCATCATATCATCATTGTGTGAATCCATCAAGGGATTGTAAGTAATTGGTGATGGAGAATTTTTAGTTTTTCCCTTTTCAAGCATCCCTTTATGCTCTCCCTTCAGACAGTCCAATATCTTGGTAAAAGTAGGAGAATTTCCGGGAAATTCAGATTCCGAAAAAAGTGGCGGGAAGCTGGGAAAATCTAGGAAAGGATTGAGCAGGATGGAGGGGTATTGGGTCGTTATTCATAGGCGGCAAGTCGTATCAAGCCACTTCTTAGCGGGGCACCGTACCAATCCCCCGATGAAAGAGGGGTCGTACGGACTCGACCAAAATCCCCAACCAATAATGTGTCCTGGCAACAAATTGGAGTTTTTTTTTTTGGTGAAGGACAATTCTTGCAGGAATCTAGTGGTGGAATGGGGAAGAGGGAGTCGCAGTGAAGCTTTCCTCTAAGGGAGGCCATATTGATGCCGCGCCATTTCACATAACCTGAAAGTAATCCCTGTTAGCAGCGCACTGATATGATTTTGCCAACATATTACCCGAGAGTCAAGCCATGTTGTGCTCGATTGCCGCAGCCGTCTTCTTCCTGAAACGTCAGGCCCCTTTGAGCCGAAAGATTACAGTAACAAAGCTGCAAAGCAGGCTACTCCGGTTTTGTGGTCACAACTGTGATGATTGCTTAACATTCAGGAACCAGAATGAAAGTCTTCTTAATGGTGATAATAAGTAAGCTGGTCACCAGAAGTCCTCAGAACGCGTTCAAGTGTGTTGTCGTAGGCAGCGTTTTTTGAGCTGGTCGGTGATGATTTTCCAGAATCGTCCTTTTTTTCAAAATCGCCTACCCTTATTTATTCGTTTATTGACTTTTTTATTTCGTGCTCAGCTACCGTGGAAACATTGCGCTAGCAAGAACGCCGGTACTCTTTACGACTAGACTAAGTACAAGTTTGTTTCATTTTGCCTCGTACTAATTCTTTTTTCCATCGACTTAGAATTCCACTATCGTTTTTTCCCATACTCTCTGTCTCCCTACCATATAGTCTAGTGCTTAACTATAAATTTCTATGAAACTGCTCGTCAACGAAATCTAAACCTTGTTGAGTATGCATCTGACCATGCCCGCTACATTCTGCCCATACCGACCTCTCCGGAGACCCAGTGCTCAACACATGCACGCGGCAGGTGGCGAGCGCGTTGCAATAATGATTTGCTATTTCTAGGCTGCAACTTCCGGACCCCGCATGTAACAAAAGAAAACATTTAGACCCGTTATCAATGCCGGGTCCGCGAAACATGGTTTCAGATCACTTGGTTCAAAAGTGCTAATCAGTGATTGTCCCATGGTGTCATTAGACAATGTCAAAATAGAGGTGACATGTGAATTGATGATGACTGGAGCGAACTTTTCGCCCACCAGCTGCATCTACCGGATTTTACCGGATTACCTAGACTGCTGCTGAAGGTCGAGAGGGCGGGGCGGGTCGAGAAGATGATGGGGCCTAAACGTAGCTGGGGCAATTCAATGGGTTCCTAGTCCTCAGGACCTTAGTCGTTTCGGGACCGGGTGGTTGCGGTAGATGACGATGGTTTAAAAGCGATTAGCTCGGAGATTTCGAATTTTTTCTTAGCTGAGCCTCAATCTGGAGCTGGATAAACCCTGTATTCCGAATTTTCTTACAAAGGCTCCATGGATCGGTCCCTGCGTGCCACTTAGGGCAGGGCCGATTTCTTCGAGCTTAGAAATCGAGAAGAAAAATTTCAACCGCGCTGAGAGCTTTATTGGGGCATGGTGTACAAGTAGTCGTTCTGTCTTATGTAGTTCCGATTTTGCCATATTCTGATCTATTTCTTCGTGGCGGAGACGCGATCACCTGGCTGCCGACCATATGTCCTGTTTATTTTAATTTTCTTATTTCCTTTCTCTGCATCAGAAGGCGCTAGCTTGCCTCCCACCCCTCCCCCCCGTCCACAATCCCAAGCGTTATGCTACGCAAATATCCACCGTTCGTCAAAGCTGAAGTCCTCCTTGGTCAGTTTCGTTTGCATGCCCCAAGCTCCTATAGTTGGCCTTCGTTCTGACCTTTGTTGTCGGCATCCTCGGGGTTATTTGAAGAGGTCTCAGACAATTTCGACGAACTGTAATCACCCCAATTGAAACACACTGAGACTGTTAAGGGCACGGTGTACTATAGGTGTATAGGTAGACGTTCTTCCTTGCATAAGGTAGGTAGTTCCGCAGCTGACCCAGGGCAAGTCGCTTTCGCCAGGTGAAAGTTCGTGCCAGAGACGTAACGAGCTTTTGGGTGGGATGCCCTCTGCCCGAACCGCGATGTCTCCGCCCATTCCATTATCACGGTCAACTTAAGTAAGAATAACATCACAAGAAACGAGGAGAACTCTAGTAATGAAAGGTAGTAGGAGGTAAAAGCTTGTACAGTTGATGCTGCTGTGATGTTAACTAGCGAAGGCTCTTTTAAACATACTCTGTTCCCTGTAAACTAGGGCCATATTTAGGGTTATTCCAGAGCTTTTTTTCCACGCACTGCCGATAAGCATCTTCAATAGCTGAACGCCAATGCCTTCATTTTAAGACGTGTGTGGTGAAGTGGCAAGTGGCACGTTCACTACGCTCGCGGCCCGAAAGTGAACTGGATCGGTTCCCGCCCTGGCCAGTCAGGATCTCTACTCTCCAGAGGAAGGCAAATAGGTCATTCGTCTGGGTGGACATGGACATGGTTGAAAGCTCGCGGAATACAAGCCACTAGGATTCTGAATGGAAGTATAACGCGTACCGTATCCCAAGCAGGGACTGATCAACGGCGAAGTCATCCTATGGCCTGGCGCAGTTCGGCGACGGGGAGGGGCATTTTGCACTTTCACTGCTTCACTACTTCCGGTTTACAAGTCTCACTCTGGTGAAACTTGTGAACTCTTGTGAAGCTGGAGCAAGCTCGTCTAGCCACCATGG